GGTTTCCTTCTTCCGGCGACATTTTCACAGAGGTTTTACTTCCGTTATATCGAACAACATGCGTCAAACTTACGCCTGGGTTTTTGTTTTTCCTGTTTTAATTCTTTGCATAACAAGAGAGAAAGAGTAGGGAGATTTAAATTAAATCCTGAGAGAATGTCCAACACTATTATACATATATATAAATATTTCACCTGAAGATAAATTCAGAAAAAGTGAGTACTGTACTAAACCTTCTAAAGTAGAACATTGCCCAATTTCTGCAAATTTTCATCCGCTTCGTATGTGGATCAAATTTGTCCAGTTCACCCTTGTCTTGCATCAACACACCATTTCTCAAAAATACTGTACAGTATTTAATTGTGCATGTTAAATTCCTTACACTAAAATAAAATAAGGCGCTGAAAATGTGTTTATATTCGAGGAGGTAAAAGAATTTCATTTGATCCATCTTTTTTGTTTTTCAACGAGAGCATTGAACAGAACTAGAATTCAAAATAGATTTATTAATCATGGTTAAATTGATCAAAATTTTGATTTTCGACAATTAATGAGCGATCTTGTGGATATTTCATAATACTGTACTTTTATCACGAAACGGAAATGCGGTCATATTTCCTCGAATTGTGTCCCGAGATTTGACACAAAAAAATGCATTAATGCTTCGGGAAGTAAAAATACCCTTTTCTGCTACAGTAGTTGGATTATTGAACCTTCGCAGAAATTTAGGGTGAGGACGATTCGACGATCGATTGCGGGGCTAAAATAGTTTGCCGGATGAGAAGTGCATCGATGGGATTAATTATGCAGGATAGAATACATTTGAGCTAATCGCGCTAAGTTTGTTGCGTAACTTTTTCAAAGTTGAAGACAGGATGTAATATGAGCAGAGAGAGAGAGAGAAAAAAGAACGAACAAAAAATGATGCGACGAAAAAGTCTTGTTGCTGATGGACAAGAAGCACTCCGAACATTTGAGCGCATCCCAGAACAGCGCATGCACAAAACTGCTTGAGCTAAAAAAAAAAAGTAATTATTAGTGGGAAACATTTTTCGGAGCACGAAGCAGTATTTCAAGCTAGAGAAAGAATTCGAAAAAATAAAAATTTGCATGATACAGCATTTCCCATACGACATTGCTTTTAAAATGACCTTAGCAACAATTTCCTGGGAAACAAGAATGGAAATTAATGATCAATTTGAAAGCCCAAGAATATTTCTGTATATATATTTTTTTAGAACAGTGGGTTCACATTTTTTAATCAGGAGAGGGAATAATGAAATTTTAAAGATTCGAGTCCAAGTCGAGTCAAAATGTGATTTCTGACGTGTTTCACTTTTAAAAAATGTCAAATTATCTCTCATGAAAAATGGGTGGCGCATTTATACTTGGGAAAAGATTTTCGTCCAAATTTCAAGATGAGCGAATCATGTGAGAATCTTACTCCAGCATACAGGGCATTTGGTACTGCTGTACTTGGCTAATAATTCTGCTGAAAGGTTAACCTTCGGCAAAAAAATTTAGACAGTAACACATCATCAGTCACTCACTCACTGGGTTCGCTTGAATCTTTTCATGCACACGCGCTGTTTCTGGCCCTTCCCCAAATGTGCGCCCAAATGTTTTGCCACCCGCTCAAATGTGCCCACAATATAATGTGCACATATACATGTCCTAAAGTGGGCCAGGTTGAGCTGGTGCTGGTGCTGCTGCCGATGGCGCAGTGATCGGCATCGTCAAGGAGCATTCCGTGTCGTCATCGTCGGAGTCCGGCTCCGGCACTTCCGCCACCAGCTTCTCAAACGTCGGGTACGCCACCAGCGGGATGGTCATCTTGGACACGTTGAACTCGAGCACGGGCGCGTGAAAAACGTCGCCGGGGGACGACTCGAACGGCAGGCCAGCAAAGGCGCCGTGGCGGGGACTGGGCACGCCCAAGAGCGGCAGTCGGTCGCTAAAGATGAGGATGGGCAGGAAAGGGTGCTCGCTGCCGGGCACGACGGAGTTGGGCACCCACACGACGCACTTGAGCTGCGCCTGGGAGTAGGCCGTGTCGTAGCCGCAGGGCATGGTGACCCAGGTGAAGTTGTTGCCGATGAGCGGCGAGAGGGCGCCCATGTCTGCTGCGGGGACACCACTTGCGTTATTCATTTCTTTATTGTTCTCT